AAGATATTGTAAGTGAAGAGAGAGAGAGAGAGAGAGAGAGAATTACGGCTTTTGTGTGTGGATTTGGATTCAATATAATCGGTAAGAACTTTGATGAACACATAAAACATATCTTTTCTTTGACATCACTTCTTGTGTTTTTTTTAGCAAAATATTAAAAATAGTTTTAAAAATAGACTCAAATCTCTTACCAAATGTAAATAATAAATACAATATTTTTATAATTTACAAACTACTCATTATTTAGATTATATTTGATATCACTTTATTCAAATTTCTGACTACAAAGGAAAAATTTGGTTACGCTATAAAACACTTATCAAAGAAAACATTAAATAAATGCTTTTTATTGTTATTTATAGTTTAGAGTTGTATTTTCTGTAAATTACTAATAAGATATCAGAGATAATAATTTAGGATTTGTATATTTTGCCCTCAACATAACAGGATATAATTGCTGCTAAAATTAACCATAAACAATTATGATTTACTATTGATTAACATACATATGTATGTATTTTGATATTAATAGTGAAAATTTGAAAAAATCTGTAAGTTACAATCAAAATATTAATTACAAAATTAAATAAATTACTAAATTAATCATGTTTATTGATAGTGCCCTAAAAGTTGTAACTAAAAAACTGCTCAACAATTAAACTCAATTCTTTAATTTTTATAAATCAAATAAAAAATTATTTTTTAACACTTTCAATGTAATATTGTATTAATTTAGATATTAATTTAGTTCAATTTAAGGGCATTTCCTCTGTGTTAGTATATGCTTAAATACACAGATGTATCAAATTAACATTCAATTAATCGGACCTATTATTTTGTATATAAGTCGTGGTAAACTTAAGACCAATTTAACAAACAATTATTATAATTAAAAATTTAAAAATTGTTAGAATTTATTCAATTTAGTTATGAATAAAATTATTATTCTATGCGTTGTGTTGGGATTCGCTGCGATCGGTAAGTGATAACTACTGTAAAAGTAATTTTATTTGTAATACAAGAATATATTGCATTTTCAAAAACAAATGCTTAATTCTCCCAAAATAAGCATCGGCTCAAAAGGCATGTGCGGCCTTAGGGGGTGAGTGCGAGGGTGTGAACAAAACGCCGTGTTGTGCGACGGGTGGCCACGGATTGATGTGTAGGGCAACTAAAGAGATACGCGACCGTAGCGGCCATTTCCTGGCCTACGGGGGTGTCTGCGAGAGAGCGTGTCAGGGACTCTGGCAAACGTGCTTTTCTACCGATGCCTGTTGTACTGAATTGGGTCTCAAGTGTCAAATCGGTAGTAACGGCGGCACTAATTGGGGACAATGTGTGCCCGACAACTAACTGCTCACTATTGGTCTCCAGAAATTAATTATTTCAATACAGTATTATTTACTTTTATTGTATTAATTTCAATGTCAATTTATTATAATGGCATTTCCCACATGTTATTTTGTTCCCAAATTTATATGAATCTAAATTTAAAACAATTCAGTAGGATTTCAATTTGTTATAAATTGTAAATTCAACTCAAAATTAAGTTTTTTTTATCAAATAAAAACTTTTAATTGCACCATCATTGTTTTAAAAACTATTCAACTTAATTTTTAGTCATGGATTTTGCAATTACCTTATGTTTTGTGATGTTATTGTTATAAAGATCTTTAAAATTTTATTATTAAAAATCATCCTTTGCGTCAATCAATATATAAAATCTGTTATATTGATAAATAAACAATTAATTACTTTTTATATTATAATATTTACTTAAAAATCCCTGGGCATTTCCCATATGTTAATATGTGCTTAAATATATTTCTATATAAATTTAACAATTAATTAATTGGGTTATTTTTTAGTATATAAATAGTGATAATTTTAGTTACAATTAAATAAATAACTATTACAACTAAAAGTCTGAAAATTAAATATTTACTCAATTTAGTTATGAATAAAATTACAATCTTATGCTTTGTGTTGGGCTTTGTTGCGATCGGTAATGTGTTAACGATATGAAAAATTCTGAATACAAAGAGCATGGTCAAATACTAATAACTATTCTCACTGTAGCGTCGGGTCAAAACACGTGCGCGGCCTTAGGGGCCACGTGTGGCGGTGTGGCCAAAAAGCCGTGTTGTGTGACCGGTGGTCACGGACTGGTCTGTAATGCTAACAATATTATATACAACAGTAGCGGACAATTTGTGGCGTATAGTGGTGTGTGTCAACGGGCGTGTCAGCCCCTGTGGGGCACTTGTTTCCCGTCCGGAGCCGGTTATCCGAGCGCTAGCGAGTGTTGCACTGAATTGGGTCTTAAATGTCAGCTCAATAGTAACGCCGGCACTAACTTTGGACAGTGTGTGCCCTCTAATTAAGTGCACACTAATAGTCTATTTAATAGTTTAAACTTTATTATAATAAAATCTGTTATAATTAAATAAATCAATTACATTACTTTAAAAGATTTAATTAATTATTTTGAGTTATTAAATAATAAGCATTGTTTTATCAAATTAATGTCCATTTATTGTAAATCTCAACACAAAATTGTGTCATTTTATTGAGGCCCGAATTCAAAGTCTGGTCTCTCTCTCTCTCTCTCTCTCTCTCTCTCGTAAGGAATCTGATCTCAAGAAAAAACAATTGATGCAAAAAACACTTGAAATAAATTGTAAATAAAATATATTGACAAAAAATAGAGAAATCTTTATGTTCTGATATTTATGTATATTAGAAATGCAATGCAATTGCAAATCATGTTTTCGTACAAAATTGAGTTCACATTTGTCTCTCCCTTCCTCTCCTTTCCAACATTGATGTGCACTGAATGCACAAATATATAGTGAAGTTCGTTATACCAGTGCTTTATATACACAATACTATTCAGTATTATTCATACGGAATCTTATTTTTAGAAATACATTGAAAAATACGTATGAGATATACATGTAGTGAATGCTTAGGCCTTTAATACTACCATTCAATTGTATTTACCATTGAATCCCAAATTCTTAACTCAATTTAATGGTAAATATTATCCATAAAGAGATTAAATTTTATTGTTAACAAAAAACTTACCTCAACTGAAATGCATGTCTGAAGAGAGGCTAAAAGTGTGTGTGTATATGAGATGACAGAATCAATATTTAGTTTTATTACACAATTTTTAATTCAAATACAAATGTCATTAAAATAGTGAAACAAAAATATTAAGAGTTAGAGAATCACAGATGAAAATGATATTTTAAATAAACACAATTGTCTTAAGAAATATTATACGTTTATTATTTGCATAACAAATATAATGTGAAACTTAATTTATTAACAAACAAAAAATCAGTGAAACTAAACGTACAAAATATCATAAATACATGTCATTAATGTGAATTGTTTTTGATTTTTATTACATATCATACGATATCATAAATTAATGATAGTTAACGTGTAGTGAAAGTGAGTTTAAAATTATGATATTATTTGCATTTTAATGTCTCCGACCATTAAATGCATGCATTCGTTGAATATTAGTCTAACTGTAAAATCCGGAGAGAACTCAATACACAAACCGAAACTCAATTAAAATAAAGTTTATTTAAAGGCATTAGGAGTTTGTTATTAAAGTCATAGATTATAATTACGTTAACGAAATGGGATGCGAGAGGTGTTAGGGTTAGGACGAGTCCCAGACATGCTCTCAAACTTTTGTTATTCTTGATGTTTAAGCAATACTCTATGCATACGTATATGTGTTATATAAGTAGTTGTTTAAAAATAAAATTTTATCCTAAATTCCTTCACTACAAGAATAACACACAACACATACATTACAGTACATTACAGTACAGCACTTCCTGAGTTTAAATTCAGTATTTAAACATTTATTTAAAATACAACAAAAAAGTTTGCGATAATTGTCTCCCAGTGTCTCTATTGTCTCCATTGAATGCATATTATGAGAGAGAGAGAGAGAGTGTTCGGTCGACTCATCTCTCTCTCCCTTCTTCCTACGAAATGCCTGTTATCTCAATGCCATCGCTCTTATCACTTGATGCTCACATTGTTTCCCATTTGCATCGCATGTCTAAAACACATTTATATATTTTTGGGGCATTTTTCGCTCACTTATAAAAATGTAAAATTCGCTAAAAAAGTGATGTTTTATGCATTCATAACAATGAATATTTGCTTTTTGTTTGTTTCACGCGTCTCTCTCTCTCTCTCTCTCTCTCTCTCTTTCTTTCTTTCTTTCTTTTTCTGTTATGAAATGACTTATGTATTAAAGTAACTAAAGTAGAGATTTGTCACAAACAAAACAGGACTGTCTGCACATCTAATGTAAATATAAGGCTTTGTTTTTGTAGATCACAAGAAATCCCTTTTCCATTAATGATTGAATATATAAATATAATATCGACAGTCGTATGAGACAAACGAGGACTTCATTTATAAAAATCAGAAAAACAAATATTTTATCAAATGTTTGGTTAAAACAAATTGATCTCAAGAGCGAAAAAAATGTCAGACAAACGCCGTATTTGTACGTTAAAAGTCATAAAACATTATTCATAAAAATTTATAAATCATTGTTATTATTAATCGTAAGCAAACATATTAGACATCATTTATAAAATTGCATTTTTGAATTTATATCAATACAAATGTCGTCAAACAATTTGATAATATTATGACAATATCTAGTTTTTTAACAAATCGATATCAACATAACTATTAATAATGTATATCATAGAAAGTTTTAGCTAATCTACAAATTAAACATTTATTATAATATTATCAAATACTTTAAACGGATTTACATAAAACTTTTAATGTATTTTAAAAGTTGAAGTCTTCTGTACAGAAAATATTTGAAGAATTCATTGCTAAACACTTTTTACAATCATTTAAAAAGTAGTTTATTTATATACTGTTAAAGTAAATCAAATGTCAAAATAATACTCAAACATTTTGGATATAAAGCTTTTATCGTCGTTTGAATCGCGATTCCCAGCGAATCGATGCGAAGCCAAGACATTAAACTCGTGGATGACTTCGGCAATAGTGACGGAACAGTCGTCGTACGTGTCATCGCAACTAACCGTCTCATCCCTACCATGTTTTGCCGGCTTATGATAGTTTGCCAACACTTTGTGCGAATCAATTGTCTGTTGACTCCTATTGTATGGAAATATGGATCGAAAAAGTTTGCCTAAATATCCATATCTTTTCGGCCTTTTGTGTGCCTCACAGACACACCATTTCACACATTCCTCCACTCTTTTTGCCGGAAAATGTGGCAAATCTTCAATCGATTCGTGCAATGAATGTATAATATTTGTCGACAACTCTCCGAACTGTCGCTCCAATGTCTTGAATACTGATCTCCTGTCCTCTCGTTTCAGTTTTTGTCCGAAAACGTGTTCAGAGAAGTCGTCCATTTGGTTGTTCACGAAGTTGTTTAACGTTTTCATATCCATTGCCCGTTGAAACCCCGATCGACTTTCGGGAAATATGAGGGGCGCAAACAGCGCCACACCCGCCAGTATTAACCCCGACAATACTATTGATGAGCCTATTATTTTGCCATAATTCAAATAATTAATTATATTATTATATTAATAATATAATATATTCTTTACAATATTGCTGTAAATTATAAATTAATTATTGCAACCATATTCATTTAAAATTAATAAAGCTATATTACAAACCTATGTTAAGCGTAGAATTGGGAGTAGCGGGCGAGTGGACACCCCTTCCCCTTCCGGGCAATTTGATGGTAAATAAGGGTATATTTAAAGCAAAAGACGAGTTGTAATACCGGTCCACATATATTGAGTCCTTATATTCTTTATATAAATTATAGGCGTTTTGATCGTTACGGGACGTAAAGGTCGGTGTCTTAGAGTCTTTGGCTGTAAGAATAGGTGAGAAGTCATATTCATATGAACTCTTCACTCTATCGCCCGTCACTTCTTTGGCACAGATTTGTGTTATAAATAATAATATGTAATAAATAAAAATTATATAAATTATACGATATGTTAATAGTCTGATGGGAAACATTCTCAGACTTTATGGATATTCTGATTGAATTGATTTATTTAATTGAAAAATTGTCTTTCCTTGAATGTTATGAACAGATATTAGTGAAGAAACTTGTAAAATAAAATCAATTTAATGGTCAAAATGTATGTAAAATTGCTTCCGTGTTTAGGATTCATAATTGAAAGTATTTTATGGGCTTAACGTCCAGAAAAGTGAGCGACTTATATGTCTTTAACCTTTAAATGAAATTTTTCACTAAATTTTAGAAAATCTTAAAACTTTTAAAGTACTGCATATCCGATGAGGGAGAGAGAATATTCTCTAAACATTGCTTCCCAACAATAAGATGGCTGTTGTTTAGCGACTGACAAATCAA